GAGTAAGAGTTAAAATGGTATCATACAATGTGATGCTTCTGATAGAGCAGCTAAACTGTTAGAATCAGAAGTATAGCACAGCCATTGAAAGTGACAGAAGTCACAAATTTGGAATATGTTTTGGCTCAAGCTGCAACCGAGCTTTGGAGTCACAATAGAGGAATAGATAAATGCATCAACCATAGATGCTTTCAAAAATAGAGATTATTTTTAGCCAGGGCTAATATCAAACGGCAAAGGGACCATTTCCTTCATAATATGTCCAAAAGTATTTACTTCAAAAGTAGATAAAGTTCATTACAGTTTATGCACAGTTTTATTAGATACTGTCAAATTCACTTGTTTCAAACATCTGTGAATGTTGACAATGCAAAAAGTTCATGAGTGTAGCCTAGACTAATGTAGCTTAGATTAATGAGATAGATTAGAACCAACAGAGATTCAAAAACATTTAAAAGCATTTTGATGAATTTGGGCATAGCACAAAAGTAGATGTTTAGATATTTTTGAGAATTTTAAAAGCTGTCGATTTGTCAGCACGGATTAGAAAATCGAATACCATGGTAGAGTAACTGACCCCAAAAACCTGCTAAAATAGATTAGCTCTTCTAAGGATAATACCAATTTGATTAACGATGTACATTCATCCCAAACTGTCTTGAGAGGAGGAAGTGACAGCACTTCCTGGTTCAACAAATGTGTTTGGAAAAATGAGCAAAGCCCCACAAAATGGCACAAAGCCACTGATAATGAAAGCAAACCACAGTATAGACAGATTTATTAGATAAAAACATATGTTTAAGAATATGGCTCAATAAAAGCAAATATGCAAACATATTTGTAAATAGATTAGAATAGTTTAAACTATAGTGAATAGTTTTAGTGCATACATTACAGACGAGGTTGATGAAGAATCAGAATGACACAGCAGTAGTCATCAAAATAGTATTGAAGGAATCAAGCCCCCATTGAAAGATCAAGGCTATGCTCACACTCAGAGAGCAGCCGTCCTCCTGTGGACTCACCACCTGCAGAGGATCAGTGAGGGGCTGGTGCTATGAGACTTGGGTGGCATCTCTGACTGTCACCCCCCTGACCCAGAAATGGATTAAAGGGAAGAAAATGGATGGATGGATGGATGGAATGGTTAAAATGTGGTTTGTTGTGTGTTGTCTGTTTTCTCTGTATTAATTCTTCACAGATAACGAGCCAGACCTAAGATGTTGGCGATGATGGAAGATCTCCCCAGTCCCGTCACCCAGAGAATATTGAAAGATTGTGACCTATTGGTTAATATAGGTCAAGAGAGGGAAATGTTGCATATTTTAAATATACACTATACAGATGTGACAATATTTGACCATTTGAACATCATAGCCAAAAAAGACCTCTGTGCACTCAGGAAAAACCCCAAGGACACAAGATAGTACGGGAATCATAAAGGAGGACCAGCTTACAAAACCAGACAATTATTGACTCCAAGTATAAGCAGGGCTCTCTCCCCCTTTTGGCAGAGAGCAAAGTCCAACACAATCAGGCGCCGCACGGGTGGGGGGGCATTGTTTGCTCAGGCTGATATGGAGGACCAAGACCAGGACCAGGGTCCAGACCAGTCTCAGACCATGTGACGTCATCGGACATGTTGATAAAAGGGGGGATAGGGCAGTCTGGGAAAAAAGAGCAGGGATAGAAACAGAGAACATGGCAGAGCGCCTGCATGTTCTCTGCACATTTTCAGGCCTGGAGGGAAAGTTTAGGATGGTTTAGCATAGGGTTAGTTTTAGAGAATTAATGGCTCCAAGGGTTTTGTATCGATATTTAATTGTAAAGAGAATTAAATGTTCTATTTTTAACTCTTGCAGTCTTGGCCTTATTTCTGTATCAAATTCTGAACACGTCAGTCAAATCTTTTTTGACAACACCTTTCACAATTCTGATTTTTAAGGTGGATTTTTTACTTATGACGGCAGGGTATGACCAGAGATCAGATCAGACTGTGTCTGACTGTGGCTGTATCTTGTGTGTCTTTTTGTAAAATTCTCAGAGTCTTGTGTGCCTTTTAGTTTGTTTTTGGTGTGTGTTGCTTTCCTGTGAAAATATCCTGTAAAATGAAGTATAAAGAGCCATAGCAGCACAAACCCACGTGTGTTCCCTGTGTCTTTGTCTTCCTCTGCTGGTGGAAAGCGGCATCCGCGTCACACTCACAGCAGCTTCCTGTCCCTCATTACTTTTGGTAAAGTTAAGATATTTACAATCATGTCTGTGTTTGCAGCCTGTAAATTTAGTGTTGCGTAATAATAATAATGATAATGATGATAGTAATAGTAATAGTAATAATGATAATGATAATAGTAATAGTAGTATTAATAATAATAATAGTATAATAATCTCTGCAACATCGCATGAGGATCGGGGGCGGTGCCATTGGAGTGGCAGACCGGGGTGGTGGTCCCTCTCTACAAGAAGGGGGACTGGAGGGTGTGTTCCAATTATCGTGGGATCACACTCCTCAACCTCCCCGGTAAGGTGAGGTTACGGCCGATGGTCGAATCTCAGATTCAGGAGCAGTGTGGTCTTGGTCCCGGCCGCAGAACACTGGACCAGCTCTATACTTTCCATCGGATACTCGAGGATTCATGGGAGTTCGCCCAACCTGTCCACATGTACTTTGTGGATTTGGAGAAGGCGTTCGACCGTGTTCCCCGGGGTGTCCTTTGGGGGGGTTCTCCGGGAGTACGGGGTCCGGGGTCCTCTGCTGAGGGCCGTCCGGTCCCTGTATGACCGGAGCCAGAGCTGTGTTCGCATCAGCAGTACGGTGCCTTGCGAAAGTATTCGGCCCCCTTGAACCTTTCAACATTTCGCCACATTTCAGGCTTCAAACATAAAGATATAAAAATAAAATTTTTTGTCAAGAACAACAAGTGGGACACAATCATGAAGTGGAACGAAATTTATTGGATAATTTAAACTTTTTTAACAAATAAAAACTGAAAAGTGGGGCGTGCAATATTATTCGGCCCCCTTGCGCTAATACTTTGTAGCGCCACCTTTTGCTGCAATTACAGAATTGCAGCAACATTTTTCTTCCAGAATGGTCCTGTATTTGGCTTCATCCATCTTCCCATAAATTTTAGCCATCTTCCCTGTCCCTGCTGAAGAAAAGCAGGCCCAAACCATGATGCTGCCACCACCATGTTTGACAGTGGGGATGGTGTGTTCAGGGTGATGAGCTGTGTTGCGTTTACGCCAAACATATCGTTTTGCATTGTGGCCAAAAAGTTCGATTTTGGTTTGATCTGACCAGAGCACCTTCTTCCACATGTTTGGTGTGTCTCCCAGGTGGCTTGTGGCAAACTTTAAACAAGACTTTTTATGGATATCTTTGAGAAAGGGCTTTCTTCTTGCCACTCTTCCATAAAGGCCAGATTTGTGCAGTGCACGACTGATTGTTGTCATATGGACAGACTCTCTCACCTCAGCTGTAGTTATCTGCAGTTCATCCAGAGTGATCATGGGCCTCTTGGCTGAATCTCTGCTCAGTCTTCTCCTTGTTTGAGATGAAAGTTTGGAGGGACGGCTGGGTCTTGGTAGGTTTGCAGTGGTCTGATACTCCTTCCATTTCAATATAATTGCTTGCACAGTGCTCCTTGAGATGTTTAAAGCTTGGGAAATCTTTTTGTATCCAAATCCGGCTTAAAAATTCTCCACAACAGTATCTCGGACCTGCCTGGTGTGTTCCTTTGTCTTCATTGTTCTCTCTGCGCTTTAAACAGAACCCTGAGACTATCAAAGAGCAGGTGCATTTATACGGAGACTTGATTACACACAGGTGCATTCTATTTATCATCATCAGTCATTTAGGACAACATTGGATCATTTAAAGACAACTCACACTATTCATTCAGTCTCCAGCTCGGATCCCGCTCCCCCCGCCTCCCTCTACCTATCCATCTTGCTCCCTCCCTCCCCTCCACTCCTCATTGTGTTTCCGACTCACCCCCTCCCTGACCCCGCCCCCCTCTGACAGCCACATTGGGCCGGCAGTCGGAGGTGCTCATCCCGAGAAAAAAATCCGTGGTTTATACAAAGCACAATGTGTCTATCCAATTGTCTGTGAAACTGTGTGTTATTGCTCTCTGCTGTTTATTCTCCTGTTGGTCGCATGGCGCCGTAAAGATGGCGCCGTGGCAAGAGCTCTGGTGTGTGTCGTCGGGTGCACACTGGGGTAGTCTTGCACAGTTTTTCCAATGTGGTTTTACTGCAAATGGCAAATAAATGAATCTGAATCTGAATCTGAAGATCCTCACTGAACTTCTGGAGTGAGTTTGCTGCACTGAAAGTAAAGGGGCCGAATAATATTGCTCGCCCCACTTTTCAGTTTTTTATTTGTTAAAAAAGTTTAAATTATCCAATAAATTTTGTTCCACTTCACAATTATGTCCCACTTGTTGTTGATTCATGACAAAATTACATTTTTTATATCTTTTTGTTTGAAGCCTGAAATGTGGCGAAATGTTGAAAGGTTCAAGGGGGCCGAATACTTTCGCAAGGCACTGTAAGTCAGACCTGTTCCCGGTGCTTGTTGGCCTCCGCCAAGGCTGCCCTTTGTCACTGGTTCTGTTCACTGTATTCATGGACAGAATTTCTAGCCGCAGCCAGGGGCCGGAGGGGGTCCGGTTCGGGGACCACAGGATTTCATCTCAGCTGTTTGCGGACGATGTTGTCCTGTTGGCTCCAACGAACCAGGACCTGCAACATGCACTGGGACGGTTTGCAGCCGAGTGTGAAGCGGCTGGGATGAGAATCAGCACCTCCAAATCCGAGGCCATGGTGCTCGACCGGAGATGCTCGACCTGATGCCTCCTGCACGCCTCCCTGGGGAGGTGTTCCGGGCACGTCCCACGTCCAGCCACAGAGAAGGCCTTGTCCCCCCGGGTTTTAAGTCTTGTCCTAGGTACCACGAGCTGGAGCTGACCCTCGGACCTCAGCGCGAGGGGCGGATGGTAAATTTGGATGAGGTCCGAGATGTAAGGAGGGGCCAGTCCATTCAAAGCTTTAAAAACAAACAATAAAATCTTAAAATTGATTCTAAAATGAACATGAAGCCAGTGCAACAATGCCAGAATTGGTGTGATGTGATCGCGCCTTCTGCTTCCTGTTAAAAGTTGTGCCGCTGAGTTTTGAACCAACTGCAGACGGTAAAGTGCGTTTTGGGGGATGCCCGCATAAAGTGCATTGCAATAGTCCAGGCGTGACGAAATAAAAGTGTGCATGACCTGCTCAAAAAGATTAAAAGATAAAAAAGGTTTAACCTTAGATAAGAGTCGCAAATGATAAAAGCTTGATTTTAAAACGCAATTAATCTGCCTATCAAATTTAAAATCACTGTCTAAGATGACGCCAAGTTTGGTGACTGCGGGGCGCACATGGTCCTTTAAGGGCCCCAAGTCAATGAGGTGGGCGCTAGGCCCAAACAAAATAACCTCCGTCTTACTTTCATTTAGTTTCAGAAAGTTCTGGGCCAACCAATCCTTGACGTCACTTAGACAGTTGAGTAGGGGTGTCAGGGGGCTGTGATCATCTTTCTTCAATGGCATGTAAATCTGACAATCATCAGCATAAAAGTGATAACATACGCCATGTTTTTTTAAGTCCCCCCTGATGTCTGTGGGGCCCCCTGATGTCTGTAGGGCCCCCTCGCGTGTAGCAGCGGCCCTGTTGGGGGCTGCACGTGGGGGTGGGACGTCTCCAGCGGAAGTCTCGTGCGTGAGTCTTTCCTCCACAGCCGCATTCCTCCAGCGCGATGTGACCCTCGCTCCGCGCTCTTCTCTCCGCTCCTCGCCCTCCGCAGCCGCGCCATGTCCGCCGTGAGGGACCCCCCCGTGAGGGACCCCGCCGTGAAGGACCCCCCCCGCAGCGCGTGCCCTGACGGTTACCGAGAGCTGAGCACCGATGAACTGCGGGAGCTGCTGCTGGACGACGGCAAAATGGAGCAGATCATCCGGATGAACGAGAAGGTCCGTGCGCATGGTTCTGCTTCTGCTTCTGGTTCTGCCTCCGGTTCTGCCTCTGGTTCAGCCCCTGGTTCTGGTTCTGGTCTGTGGTGAAACGGAGGTGAATGTGGAGAAAGTTGGTCTAAAGGAGGATCACAGCTGTAGGAGAAGCCACGACTGCAGACGCACCAGAGCAAGACTGAGCACGTCCAAACACGGGACTAACCAGCACTATACAACCGTATGTAGGGACCGGGGAGAGACCAGAGAGAGACCAGAGACCAGGGACCAGAGAGTCTCTGGTCTCTGGTCTCTGGCAGAGACCAGAGACCAGGGACCGGGGAAAGAACTGAGAGAGAGACCAGGGACCAGGGAGAGACCAGAGAGGGACCAGAGAGGGACCAGAGAGGGACCAGAGAGGGACCAGAGAGGGACCAGAGAGGGACCAGAGAGGGACCAGAGAGGGACCAGAGAGGGACCAGAGAGGGACCAGAGAGAGACCAGAGACCGGGGAGATATCAGGGACCAGAGAGAGACCAGGGACCAGGGAGAGACCAGAGAGAGACCAGGGACCAGAGAGATGGACCAGAGAGATGGACCAGAGAGATGGACCAGAGAGATGGACCAGAGAGATGGACCAGAGAGATGGACCAGAGAGATGGACCAGAGAGATGGACCAGAGAGATGGACCAGAGAGAGGGACCAGAGAGAGGGACCAGAGAGAGAGACTGAGCACGTCCAAACACAGGACTAACCAGCACTATACAATGTACCCTACCATATGTAGGGATCAAGGACTAGGACCCGGGACCAGCGACATTCGAGGACCCAGGACCATAGACAAGGACCAGGCTCCAGCCAGGACTGAAGTGTTCTAATGCAGGTCTCTGTACAGTCCTGGTTTAAAGCTTTGGTACCTAACTTTAAAAACCTCCAAAAAGAACGTATGTAATAATATCCATGGTTTTATCAGACATGGCGTGCTGCTCTGTCACTCCTACAACCTGCTTTCACTCAGGGCCGTCTCACTCCACCTTCTGTATGTGTTTAACGGTAGGGGAAACCGCTAGGTAGGTTTTCTACGCAGACACGGGGAGAACATGCAAACTCCATGCAGAAAGGCCTAGAGGTGGAATCAAACCCAAGACTCCTTGTTTTGAATCACAGATGCTAACCTGGTGGCAGTGGTTAACATCAGACACAACATCCACCTCCAGACTGAGTTTGCATGTTCTCATCGTGTCTGCGTAGGTTTCCTCCGGGTGCTCCGGTTTCCCCTACCACTAAAAACATGTACAACAGTCTGAATGTAATGAGTGAATGGATGGTGTTTGGTCGGAGGATTTGATGGACCAGTGTGTTCAGGTCTCACTTCATCACTGTGTGGAGAGACTGGAACATCTGACTCTGAACTTTGTAAAGTGCTTTGGGGCTGTTCCTTCCTTGGTCTGTAAAATGTGCTACATAAATAAACATGGCTCATACACAATGTTAACCAAACAGTAAACAACATGTAGTGAAGTGACAGCACGACTTTAGTTAACATCTGAGACTAGTGTTAATGAGACGCACATTATAACTGTGTAAAAACATCATAGTTAGTGCTGTGAAAGGGAGACCTCTGAAGCTTAACAGGGCAGGGCCTGGTTAGTACTGTGATGGGAGACCTCTGGGAACACCAGGTGCCACAGTGGGGCGGCTGCGGCTGTAAAGTGCCAAACTGTGGTTGTGTCCTTGGGCAAGACACTTCCCCACATTAGAATGAGTCTGGTTTGTGTGTGAATGGTTGGTGGTGGGAGGGGCTGTCACTGTGCAGAGACATGTATATTGAGACAGAGACATGTATATTGAGACAGAGATGTGTATACTGAGACAGAGCCGTGGAGACAGAGGCATGTATACTGAGACAGAGGCATGTATATTGAGACAGGTATACTGAGACAGAAACGTGTATACTGAGACAGAAATGTTTCCTCTTCCACATCCTGTTTGGCCTTGATGCTGTTCTCCACCCAGAACTTGGCACCATCAAAGAGAGCACATTGTCTGGGCCTTTACCCTGGCCTCTGCAGGTCCACATGGTCTCTGCGGCTCCACATGGTCTCTGCAGGTCCTCATGGTCTCTGCGACTCCACATGGTCTCTCCTGGTCCACATGGTCTCTGCTGGACCACATGGTCTCTGCGGGACCACATGGTCTCTGCGGCTCCACATGGTCTCTGCGGCTCCACATGGTCTCTGCAGGTCCACATGGTCTCTGCGGCTCCACATGGTCTCTACTGGTCCACATGGTCTCTGCAGGTTCACATGGTCCCTGCATGGTCTCTGGTCTCTGCAGGTCCACATGGTCTCTGCTGGTCCACATGGTCTCTGCATGGTCTCTGCATGGTCTCTGGTCTCTGCAGGTCCACATGGTCTCTGCTGGCCCACATGGTCTCTGCTGGTCCACATAGTCTCTGCTAGCCCACATGGTCTCTGCTGGTCCACATGGTCTCTGCACAAACTGCTGTCTTCATCTCCATAAAAAGCCAAGAATATGTTCATGGTTTTAACAGTCAATGAGTTTTGTGCCTCACTCTGATGATGATGATGGTGATGATGATGAAGATGAGGGTGATGATGATTATGAGGATGATGGTGATGAGGGTGATCATGAGGAGGAGGATGATGAAGTTGATGGTGATGATGAAGATGAGGGTGATGATGGTGATGATGAGGGTGATGATGATGATGGTGATGAGGGTGATCATGAGGATGATGATGAAGGTGATGATGAAGATGATGGTGATGATGATGGTGATGATGAGGGTGATGATGATGTTGAGGGTGATGATGGTGTTGAGGGTGATTATGATGATGATGAGGGTGATGATGATGATTATGATGATGTTGATGATGAGGGTGATGATGATTATGATGATGATGAGGGTGATGATGATGTTGAGGCTGATGATGATGATTATGATGATGATGAGAGTGATGATGAGGGTGATGGTGATGATGAAGATGAGGGTGATGATGAAGATGAAGCTGACATTACGTCTTCCTCCAGAACTGAAACATTAGTGATTCATCAGTCCTGTGACATGTGCAGCTCCATCCTCTCCTCCTCACTTAGATGCCCCGCCCCCTGAGGTCCTGAGGGGGTGGGGCATCTGAATCCAGCTTTAACAATCACATACTGTCTGTGATATGTTCAGAATCACAGTAATATTAGATTATGGGCCAAATATCACAGGACTAAACCTGTGCGTGTGTCTGTGTGTGTGTCTCTGTGTCTGGGTCTCTGTGTGTGTGTCTGTGTGTCTTTGTGTGTGTGTCTGTGTGTCTTTGTGTGTGTGTGTGTGTGTGTGTGTGTGATCTCACTCTGGCAGTAAATAGTTTTATGGGAAACTGAACATTGCTCAGATTCCTCGACCTTTTAACGGCCGCTTGCTCTGAGCTGGTTCTGATGAGGCGTGTAATGTGGGACAGACGCCTGCGGCAGATCCAGGCTCAGACCAGATCCATGCTCAGGCCAGATCCAGGACCATCGCCTCCTCAGGACCTCAGGGGGCGGGGCATCTGAGTGAGGAGGAGAGGATGGAGCTGCACATGTCACAGAACTGATGAATCACTAATGTTTCAGCTCTGGAAGACAATGTAATGTCAGTTTCATCATCATCATCGTCCTCTTCATCATCATCAGTTTACTGCTCACAGCGGGTTCTGTCTCTAGTTTTCTTATAGTTCATATAGTTTTGTTATTCATATATTTATTACATTCTAGTCTGCTCCAGCACGTCTGCGGTCTGTCGTCTTCCACTTTATTATTATTATAATCATTTGAACATGTTCCCGTCTCCATGGTGACCAACTACACGGGTCCAAACAACACGCCGTTTGCTAGTTTAGCAGTGTGAAGGGACTAGTATATGATCGCCACAGTGGCTGAGTGGTTAGCACTGGTTCCTGGGTTCGAATCCCGGTCGGAACAGGGGCTTTCTGAGTGGAGTTTGTATGTTCTGTGTCTGCATAGGTTTCCTCCAGGTGCTCCAGTTTCCACTAAAAACATGAACTATAGATACACAAGAGGTAATACGAATGATGGAATGGAGGGTGTTGGGTCGGGGGCTTTGAGGGTCTCTTGCATACATGTCTCACTCTCACATACATGTCTAGGCTTGTCGTGATATTCAATAAATCAATTAAACGCATGATAATTAAAATTAACTCGATTGTTTTCCTGGCCGTGATAAATTCCATTTGCATGCTTGCTAGTTTTCCCGTCTCTCTCTCTCTCTCCCTCTTGGGTCAAAGAGCCGCAAAGTGGTCACGCGTGACGCGAGCAGACTGAAATAACTCAACTAAACTAGCGCATTTAGCTAACTAGCAGTTAGCCAACTAGCTAGCTAGCGTGTTCGCTGATGCGAAAATACAGATTAATAATAAAATAAACTAATGACGCACCTCCGTGAACACATACCGCTGTTATATAAAGTCTCTTGAAGGTCTCTGGACAAAGAGACGCTGCAGAGCTGCATTACTGGCAAGAACTTTACACAAAAAGCCGCTAGCTTAGCATCAAGCTAGCGGCTTTTTACTTCCGGCGGTGGTCTTTAAAAATAAAAGTGTATTTCTGTTTGAAAAGGTGTACCTGCATCATTATCATTGTATTAGATGAAAATGATCTCAGAACGACAATACTATCGCCTATTGCAATAATATCTGAGCCAATTAATCGTCCAGCAAAATTTGTAATCGTGACAGGCCCATACATGTCTCACTCTTACATGACCCTTGTGTGTGTCCAGTTCCAGGAGCTCCAGCAGGACCGTGAGAGCCTCCTGACCTCCAACCGCAGCCTGGCAGAGGTCAGCCTGCTGCAGAGGCCGCGGCTCCACACGGGCAGAGGCCGGCTTCACCACAAATACCAAGAAATGTCCAACCTGGCAACCTCCTGCTGCGACAAACAGAGCAAGCTGGGTGAGTGGATCCTACCCACAGTATACATACTCAGTATATATACATACAGACTCAGTATACAGTGCCTTGCGAAAGTATTCAGCCCCCTTGAACCTTTCGCCACATTTCAGGCTTCAAACATAAATTTATTGGATGATTTAAACTTTTTTAACAAATAAAAAACTGAAAAGTGGGGCGTGCAATATTATTCGGCCCTCTTGCGCTAATACTTTGTAGCGCCACCTTTTGCTGTAATTACAACTGCAAGTCGCTTGGGGTATGTCTCTATCAGTTTTGCACATCGAGAGACTGGAATTCTTACCCATTCTTCCTTGCAAAACAGCTCGAGCTCAGTGAGGTTGGATGGAGAGCGTTTGTGAACAGCAGTCTTCAGCTCTTTCCACAGATTCTCGATTGGATTCAGGTCTGGACTTTGACTTGGCCATTCTAACACCTGGATAGGTCTATTTGTGAACCATTCCATTGTAGATTTGGCTTTATGTTTTGGATCATTGTCCTGTTGGAAGATAAATCTCCGTCCCAGTCTCAGGTCTTTTGCAGACTCCAACAGGTTTTCTTCCAGAATGGTCCTGTATTTGGCTCCATCCATGTTCCCATCAATTTTAGCCATCTTCCCTGTCCCTGCTGAAGAAAAGCAGGCCCAAACCATGATGCTGCCACCACCATGTTTGACAGTGGGGATGGTGTGTTCAGGGTGATGAGCTGTGTTGCTTTTACGTCAAACATATCGTTTTGCATTGTGGCCAAAAAGTTTGATTTTGGTTTCATCTGACCAGAGCACCTTCTTCCACATGTTTGGTGTGTCTCTCAGGTTGCTTGTGGCAAACTTTAAACGAGACTTTTTATGGATATCTTTGAGAAATGGCTTTCTTCTTGCCACTCTTCCATAAAGGCCAGATTTGTGCAGTGCACGACTGATTGTTGTCCTATGGACAGACTCTCCCAGCTCAGCTGTAGTTATCTGCAGTTCATCCAGAGTGATCATGGGCCTCTTGGCTGCATCTCTGGTCAGTCTTCTCCTTGTTTGAGATGAAAGTTTGGAGGGACGGCCGGGTCTTGGTAGGTTTGCAGTGGTCTGATACTCCTTCCATTTCAATATAATTGCTTGCACAGTGCTCCTTGAGATGTTTAAAGCTTGGGAAATCTTTTTGTATCCAAATCCGGCTTTAAACTTCTCCACAACAGTATCTCGGACCTGCCTGGTGTGTTCCTTTGTCTTCATGGTTCTCTCTGCGCTTTAAACAGAACCCTGAGACTATCAAAGAGCAGGTGCATTTATACGGAGACTTGATTACACACAGGTGCATTCTATTTATCATCATCAGTCATTTAGGACAACATTGGATCATTCAAAGATCCTCACTGAACTTCTGGAGTGAGTTTGCTGCACTGAAAGTAAAGGGGCCGAATAATATTGCACGCCCCACTTTTCAGTTTTTTGTTAAAAAAGTTTAAATTATCCAATAAATTTTGTTCCACTTGTTGATTCATGACAAAAAATTAAAATATTATATCTTTATGTTTGAAACCTGAAATGTGGCGAAATGTTGAAAGGTTCAAGGAGGCCGAATACTACACTGTATATACATACAGACTCAGTATATATACATACAGACTCAGTATATACGTATACAGACTCAGTATATATGAGGTTCTTTCCATGACTACTGGCTGTAGATCCACACCAGGCTGTGTAAGGGCTGTTTGACCAATAAGGAGAGTGATGGTGCTGGGCCACATGACCTCCACAGTCACCGGACCTGCACCCAGTCCAGATGGTTTTGGACCTGAACCCAGTCCAGATGGTTTTGGGGCTGGACCACAGAGTCAAGGGGCCAAAAAGTGCTAAGCATCATGGAGTTCCTCCTTCAAGACTGTCCTCTTGAAGCTCATCCAGAGAATGCCAAGAGTGAAGCAGTAGTCAGAGCAAAAGGTGCTACTTTGAAGAACCAGAATATAACACATATTTTCACTTGGTTCATACTTTTTTAGTACGTACATAATTCACATGAGTTCATTCATAGGTTTGATACCTTCAGTGTCAATCTACAATTATCATAATCATGAAGATAAAAAACGGGGTGTCCAAACTTTTGGTCTGTCCTGTAGATAAGATACTTTTTAAAAACATAGTGAAGCTCCACATTTGATTGGATTCTGTCCCAGCAGCGTCTGCATTAACCCTTAATCATAAAGGTTTAACAGCTCCAGCTCAGTGGTACAAGGCTCAGTGGTACAGTCATGGGAAGTAAAGGCTGTAGAAGGCAGCAGTGTGCGAGTGTGAAGACCTGTGTGTGATTATTGTGATATTGGCGGGACATTGCAGACGTGACTTTGCAGACGTGACTTTGCAAACGTGACTTTGCAGATGTGACTTTGCAGACGTGACTTTGCAGATGTGACTTTGCAGACGTGACTTTGGAGACGTGATTTTGCAGAAAAGTAAACTCAAACATTTTGTGATGTTTTTTGTGTAAATTTTGCTGCAGTTTTGGAATAATCTAAACCACATCATCCTGTTCATTAGACTCCAGAGGAATGCTCTACTTCCTGTGTGTTTGTGTGTGTGTCTGTGTCTCTGTGTATCTCTGTGTGTGTCTGTGTGTGAGTGTGTCCTGTGTGTGTGTGCGTGCGCGTGTGTATCTTAACACTTGAAGAACCCCTGTGTTGTTTATGAAAAGTGTATTGAGTCATAGCTCTATATTGTGTGTAATTCTTGAGTTGAAAAGTTACGAGTCTGAGTTGAGTCTAAACTTACTGTATCTGTGACTCTGACGACACATGAGAAGGTTAGACTCACACCTCTGCACCGCTTTACTCTGAGGCTATTCTCATTTTCATTGTTTCTCTGTGTTTTTAACTCCCTGTCTTTCGCTCTCTCTGTGTCTCTGTCTTTGTGTGTGTGTCGCTGTCTCTGTCTCCTGCTGATGTTCTTATGTCATGTCTGAGAGCGGTGAAATGCCGTTTCACTGCATTCCTGAGTCACATACCTCTGAGTTTTGCTGAGAGGGGGGGTTGTGGTGGTCAGAGAGGGAGGAGGGGGGTTGTGGTGGACAGAGAGGGAGGAGTTGCAGAGGGGTGTTAAGGCGCAGACACCAGAGCAGCTGGAGGTCACATGGTTTTCATTATTGACGTGTGATCGATGAGCAGATAAATGCTCTGAAAGTCCCCCCCCCCTGCCTTTGATGTGACCATGTTCCCTCTAAAGTCATGTACAGGGGCAGAGCAAAGAACCATACGGCAAGACTGAATTACAACAGTCTAGTAATTCATGAGAGAACATAATAAAAATCCTATTGTCTCAGTCCAGCATTGTCTCCCTCCTCTCTCTCTCTCTCATCCTCTCCTCTCTCCTCCCTCTCTCTCTCCTCTCCTCCCTACTCTCCCTCCTCTCTCTCTCCTCCCTCTCTCTCCCTCTCCTCTCCCCTCTCTCCCCGCTCTCTTCTCCCTCCTCTCTCCTCTCCTCCCTACTCTCCCTCCTCACTCCCTCTCTCTCTCTCTCCTTCCTCTCTCTCCCCCCTCTCCCCTTCCTCCTCTCTCTCTCTCTCTCCTCTCCTCACTCCCCTCTCCCCTCCTCTCTCTCCGCTCTGTCAGATGATCTCTCCCCACAGTGAGTATTCAGGACATCTGTAAAGTGGAAGTGCTTTGTGCAGAGTCCAGGGAGCTGTATGTAGAACACTGACTGTTGCCCACGGCGACAGCTGATCAGTGAATAATGCAAAGACTCGTGTTTTACAGCTTTGAAATTAAAGAGGTTCATGTCTGTGAGATCTGCACCAGAGCCTCTCTGCAGCTACACTGGAGCGAGTCCTGCTGCTTACGGCTGCATCAACATGACCATGTATGATTCCTTTGGTCTGTTGGACCAAAGATTGTAGCAACATCGTTTGCAGATGTTCACATTCAGACATATGGATTGAATAGTTTGAATAGTTGTGGTGGTTGTAGTAGGACTGGTTTATTCAGTGGTGGAAAAATAGCCAAAGCTGCCCTGGGGCACACTGACAGAAGCGAGGCAACCAGTCTGTGCCCCTCCCACCACCACCAACCATTCACACACACACCAGACTCATACTAATGTGGAGGAAGTGTCTTGCCTAAGGACACAACCACAGTTTGGCACTTTACAACCACAGCCGCCCCGCTGTGGCACCTGCTGTTCCCAGAGGTCTCCCATCACAGCACTAAACAGGCTCTGCCCTGCTGAGCTTCAGAGGTCTCAGTACAGTACAGTGGGTGCAGAATGTCTTGTGAGATTAAAGTGAAATCTTCCTCAGTCTGAAATTGTTGTGACGTGACACTAATGTGGAGCCGTCACAGATGCCATGAACTCCCCAGTGCTGCTGCCGCCTCCAGAGCGAGGGGGGGGGGGGGGGGGGGGGGGCACACATCCATGACCTACATGTGTGCGGAGGCCGTCAGAGCTCGTCTTCATCAGTGAATGTGATGTCACTGATGCAGACGAGCAGAACAGTCACTGCTGCTTTCATCAGGAGGCAGGACATACAGCTAATCTGTGTAGCTGCGCCTGTGGAACTGCGCCTGTGTAACTCCGTCTGTGTAAATGCGTCTGTGGGACTGTACCTGTGTAGCTGCATCTTTGGAATTGCGCCTGTGGAACTGCGCCTGTGTAACTGCGCCTGTGTAGCTGCGCCTGTGTAACTCCGCCTGTGTAACTGCACCTGTAACTGGCCTGTGGAACTGTGCCTGTGTAGCTGCATCTGTGTAACTGCATCTGTGTAACTGCGCCTGTGTAACTCCGCCTGTGTAACTGCGTCTGTGTAACTGCGCCTGTGGTACTGCGCCTGTGTAGCTGCATCTGTGTAACTGCGTCTGTGTAACTGGCCTGTGGTACTGCGCCTGTGTAGCTGCATCTGTGGAACTGCACCTGTGTAACTGCGTCTGTGTAACTGTGCCTGTAACTGGCCTGTGGTACTGCGCCTGTGTAGCTGCATCTGTGGACCTGCACCTGTGTAACTGCGTCTGTGTAACTGCGCCTG